ACTTGGAACGGATTGGCCTTCGTTAGTAATTGAGGTGGGGTATTCCAAAAGCTTGCAAAAGCTGAGATTCGATGCGGAATGGTGGTTAAAATATTCTGCTGGACAAACCAAGATGGTGATTATCATCAAGATTAAGTGCAATCCAAGCGCCATGAGGTTGGAATGCTGGGAAATGTACCGGGACCCAGCCCGGCGCGTTACCAGAAGTACTGCCGCAGTTCCTACCCGTCGGCAATGGTTTAGCATCAACAACCTTGGCACAGTTACATCTTTCAATCCTGGCATGGGTCTGGAAATCCCGTATCTCACAATATTCGATACCGGACCACAGAACCACCCCCCCTTTGCCTTCTCCCAAGCTGAGTTGAGTTCTTGGGCGTTGTGCGTATACTCAGGTCTGAGTTAGATGTGAAGGCATGCGTGGATTGATGGGAGACAGTGGTATGCCTATTGAAAAGAGGGCTACACGGGTAGGAGGGAAGGATAAGGTAACAAAGATGGATAGTATCAATGACTCTTCTTGTTCATATCGCGGCCTCAATAGGATACCGGTAAAGGAGGAAGGATTATAAGAGAAGCTTGGTATCGAATAGTATGGAGGGGACTCGTTGTATGTACCGGTACCTTGCCTTTTTTATTTTAGTTTAGTTGTTATGGTCACTGGCCTTGGTGTCTCATACGACACTGGTATATAAAGTGTGCATTTTGTTGGTGTATTCTCCCCCCGTTTCCAGTTCTGAGCTTGTCACCTCCTTGCCATAGCCCCCTGCATTTTTGGTGATTCCATCCTAAACCCCTCCGTTGCAATAATTCACTCCATCATATCCGTCAACACCATTGATTCTAATTACATCCAATAGCTCAGGCGGATATTGCTCTCCTCGAAAGCTCCTAAGCCTTTCACTTCCCGTGACGGCGAAGTTCCCAGGATCTGAGATCACCAATCTAGTTGGTTTTCTCAGGACGGCATTTCCCTGTAAGTCTTAACTGGTTCCATGGCTATCTCTCTTCGTGAATTTGGCAAAGCTAGGACTTCTCTTCGACATAACTCCTCTGTAGATATTCAATTCGTCCTCCAATTTTGTCGGCGGAGATATCATGGGTGATACTGCCCCTTTTATCCACAAAGTTACAACACCAATGGGCGCGCCCAAGTTTCGTCCACTGCCGGTCGACAACTCGCCTTTATACAGTCCCCAGAAGACCTCATCCAATGCTCTTGCTGGATGGCAGCTGGCAACTGAACCGGCAGGGATCCTGCGAGACATTAAGCGAAAGATACTCTGGTCGAGCGGATCGGATGATTTCTGGGTGGTCCTTTATGCTCGCTTCTGGGGAGAAATGCGTCCAATTGTTCAGAGATCGATTTACCGGGGATGGTTCCACTACACAGAAATATGAGAAACAGGATCGGGAAATGAGTGATTTTGATAGCCGTCCGGCTCAGCCCAACAAACCGACGGAACAGGATAACATGATGGAAAGGATAAAGGTCCGAACTGTGAAGGTTCAGAGGCGTCGTGTATGAAAATAGTCTATCCGATTTCACAAGTGATAGGTGTTTACGGTGACAAGAAACTGCTACTCTACTTCAAGGTTAGCTTTGACCGGAAGAAAGAATCGTGTCTCAAATACCCAGTTGTGGGTTAGCAGGCACTGCCGCAAATGAGTTTTTTTAGGACCATAATCGAAACTGTCACGATCAAAAAGTGACAGACGATTAGGAAGAACATCAGTACATCCACTGGCTCTAGGAAAGGTTCCCTGAATGATACCGTAGTGTACGTTATACAATTCCCATGACTCCAAATTCTCGATTCGAAGATTAGTTGTAACTCTGGCCAAGTCTATCCAAGATTATGCGCATTGCAGGTGTAAAAATCTCATCGAGATCTGAAAGTACGCATATGGGTAGAGGTAGAATTACAAGTGATGAGTTGTGACCCTCCAGCGCCCACCATTGATCACTCACCATATTTCCCTCGCAGAATAGGAGTCTCTGTTAGATATAATGAAGCAACGAAGAATCTGCAGGCTGTAGCAAAAAAGCAAAAATCAACACTAGCAACGTCACGATGTCTGCTACCGTACCATCATTTGGAAAGTGATAACGAGCTAACTGAAATATCGGTAATGGTCTCTATTGTACCAACGTCCATTATGCTTAAACTCCCGAGAATGCGACATTGGATCTGTGTTTTCGTATCTTCAGGGCGCCTTACTATAATGAGAAAATTCTGGGGAACAGGAAAATGGCATACGAGGCCAAGATATCGATGATACAACCCGTTTCTGGACCTTTTCTAGGGACCACTGTCAACTGTTTAGGCTTGCAATACTCGTACATTGCACCCGGCTAAAACGAGGGGCCGTAAGGGCAAAAATACTGTAAAAAAATAATAATATTATTATTTGAATCTCGTTGGGAGCTAAGGCGATAACTAATCCTAAAAGCAGAGAGAAATTGATTTCTACAGGCTTGAACCGGGGACCACTAATGTATCAGATGGTGCTTCTAGTGCTAGAAGGGAAAATGGACACCTAAAGTCGGACAAAGCGTGATAAATTAAGCGGCTAACGGGTTCCTATGCGGCTCAGCCCCTATGAAATGTCGCTGAGTTAGGGGGGGGCAAAGCGGATTGTTTTTCAATTGCCAGTGCGGTCTCCAACCAATGACTGACTCAGCAGCTCCGTATTCAGGTCTAAGGGGGATTTGACCAATTTTCATGAGGTCTCGTGGTGTAGAACCAACTACACCACGAAACCACATAAGCCCTTGGTGAGCACAGTACAGATGTTGGTGTGAAAACTTTCTCTTCACGTTAGTGCACACTATCCCAACGGTGCCCCATCGTCTCGCTTCCCCCCCCGCTGAATAGCCGAACCTGTTCCCCGAACCGCGCTCCCATCTATTTCCTCATAGCTGCCGCACAGGATTCACCTCCAGATCGATCTTCGACCGGACATCTTGTTTGGTCCAGCTCCAATGGCACACCTCATCGGAATCCTATGTCCTTCTTGAATAGCGCCCCGAAATTGCTATGGGAGTGTGATAAGTTTGGCCAGGAAACATTACCCTCAATGATGCCCACAATTTTGCTGTCCTCCCTTCGGTTTCACCACCCGCCATGAAGCGAGTGACTCAAGCTTCTGAGAATGACCCTGCCCCGCCCTCTTCGCTTCATGGTCGCTTTCACCAATGTCAAACGCCGCATTACATCACATGCAGAGATCTGCATCTGATCATATTCTGGGCGACTGGCCCTCCTCCCCTGGTTGTTCGCAACCGGATCTCCAACCAAATAACCAACGATGCCGGTGTCCCACTTGATTTAGAACATGCCTCTACCAAGTTCTCGGATGACGCACTTGCCAGATCAGGGGGAGTTTTGCGAATGTTGCCGGAGCGCATGCCAATTACCACTTTTGAGTGGGAGCATGTCCGCGCTGGCACTGGGGAGTCATTGACGAGCGGAGGGTGTATGAGATTGCTGAGGGACTAGGGTAATGTCGATGAATGTGCAGTGATTGATTCCTCCGATGAAGACGGCCTAGTAGTGCCGAGGGAAGCGTTGGATCAAATTCACCTTTGAGTGAGGAAGAGGAGAGGAGAGGGAGTGCAGCTGCGCTCAGAAATGGTTCCGGCCCCAGCAGTAAGAGTATCACCGTGAGAACGGAGGAGACAGTAGAGAAAGGTCTAGGTATGATCAAATTATGATCAAGATTGTGGGCGATTCCGATGGGGGCGGGAGTAAGAGGAAAAAGAAAGGAGGTGGAATAGACGCCAGGAAGGGGGTTATTAGTATGTGGGAGAAGAACGTATGTACTCCTCCCTACATTCTAGGGGCTGGCTCTCACTTTTCCGATAGGGAGGGCTGTGAGTGCTAGGTCTAGTGTTCACTCCCTCCTGCCCTCGATATGGATTACTCCGTCGGATAGCGTCCCTAGAGCAACGTCTCCTATCATACAACAAATAGACAATCGGGTGTACATTCTTCTACAAATTTCAACCTACTGTCACATAACTCTACGGCAATGTTCTCGGATACAGAAGCGGACGGCCGCGATCTGCATCGTCCTCAATGAAGAATAGAGATGATCTTCTCTCCTATCACTTCTACACCGGAGACTCAACCTGTCGTTAGAACAATTCTGGGTGGGGAATATGAGTCGATAGTCAAGGAGGCAGAAGAAGGTAATAAGCGGATGCGAAAGTATCTTGTTGCTACGGATTTGAGTGGGGAGGCCCAGCATGCCCTGGAGTGGACAATCGGGATGGTTCTCAGAGACGGCGATACTCTGATGGCCATATATGCCATCGATCAGGATACCTCGGCAACCATCTTGGCGTTTCCATGTCGTTTAACCCTCACAAAGATTGGCTGAGTTAGGTTAAGGGGGGAAGTCTATATATTTCCAAAGTTCACCTGGTATACGGATTGTACAGAAACGGGACAACCTACCTCGTAGGATAGTTTGGGCTGGGTTCAAAGACCCCTTAGCCCCCACCCACTAGGATTCTGTCGGTGTATTTCTAATGTGGACATCTGGTGTAAATGCCGCTACACCACGAAACTTTACAATTTTTATGTACGGGACAATACAAGGGTGTCATCCAAGCAACCATTGGAAGCGGCCGTCCAAGCAGCGGAGAAAATTTGATGCCAACTATGGTCTCTCGCTGCTTGGTTCATACCAATTTAGGCCTTTCGGCCAGTTAACTGCGTATTTGACTGCGTGATTAGAATCTCTGTCGAACTGCTCTGGTGTGTAGATGCCATGGTATACCAGGTGTAATGAGCCATACGGAGATGGAAGTAGTATGCCTGGCCATATTCTATCTATAAAATCAAATCCATTAGGCTCAGTCCCCACATATTTTGTGCCAGGGTTGAGCATACCGCAATGAGGAACCCGATAACATGAACAATAGCTACATGATTGTATCCATTAGTCGAGCTCAGTGGGTCCACATCTGCTACACTGAATTGAAATAGAGATCACGTACGCATGCCGCTTGGGTTCTTCCCAAAATACCTGGCCTGGCATCTCTCAAACAGGCCGGTGGGTTTTACCTCCGGTGCCGGGCCTAGAGCGAAACATCTGAGCAGGAGGAGAGGAGAAACATGAAAGGGCTCCGCATGCACTTTATGCGCTCATTATTCCATACCTCTTCGGAGCTTGCCGTAGAATTCCACGACACGAGCCATTCTAGACGCATCCTTCGCAGCTTCGATATATATCCCAAACCGCAAAGCTTATCAAACGTCATCATTCCCCGTTGCCAAAAATTCCTCCCCCTGCATTTTCGCTCAAGACACCCGCCCCTAGCGGACACTCTCCAAAGATGCTACTCTTCCCTGCATCACGGATGGTTCTCACCAGGCAAGCTCTGCTCCCTGTGCCCGGGCCGACTCTTCTCCGCTTCAAGGGAACCACCAGCTCTCCCCCCCCGCTGGAGAGCCCAAACCATTCTGTGGCTACCGCAACCCCCGCAGCAGACTCTGTAGCGGCATTCCCAGAAACCGAGTCAGAGGCACCTTACCAGGTATGATATGGCACAATATTTTTTTCCCTCGGTTAAGCCATTGTAATTTTGCTAATTGACGGCGTGATCACCTACAGCGCATCCTCCCCCACCAACGTCATACCCGCGCAGTGGGGCGAAAACGATGCACTCGATGCTGCATCAATTTCTGGCGCTCCACTCGATCTACAGGCGAGGACTGTAAGGATTTATAAACCTTCGAAGCCCGCCACTCAATCTGGAAATTGGAATGGAAGGCAAAGGAGGATGGATTGGGACGCCCTCTCCAAAGGTACTGTCAAAACCCAGCGATCAATTAACACAACTTGAATGCTGACGGGGTTGTCAGGTCACAGATGGGAGAACCCTTTGATGGGGTGGCAGTCAAGTGGTGATTCCATGCAAGGAACACACATTTTCTTCAAGTCTAGGAAGGATGCTGTTGCGTTTGCTGAAAAACAAGGTGCTTTGGCTACGTAAGAACTCCCGGGACGTTTCACTGATGGGGCTCATAGGTTATAAATGGCTCATCTAGGAGCCCAATGAAAGGGCCTTCAGGGCTAAAACCTACTCTGCAAACTTCTTCGTATGTTTCGCTGCTTCCGCCCTTGCAATCACTATTAATGGTTCAATTTAGCATTCTCCTAAGGAGCTCAAGATAATCCGAACCAAATATACGCGACCCGTGGCTCATTTCATCCACCAGAACGCATCACCATTGCTCACAATAGGAGTAGTAGGTGTGTAGATTTGCACATAGGTGGATTCTTAGCAGCATCTTATACCGCGCTCATTTGATTCGTTGGTAGTCGTGCGTTTTGGTGCTTATGATCTTATATTTTCGGGAGTGGGGGTCACAAGATGTTTTTCCGGACTGTTTGTTTCAAAGCCGAGTTCAGGTACTTGTATCAGTGAGTTTGGCGAGATTTTGCGGCGGTGGATTTCACGATATTTTACGGTATCTAGTCTGAATTGCCCGTTCTCCCTCCCTCTTCAATTAATTAATTAATACTGCTTGTCAGAAGAAGAAATCGTGTTTTTATTCTATCCTTTCTATCCTTGTTCTATTGAAGAAAGCAAAGAATCAAGTATGTAAAACAAAAGAAAGGAAGGTTAGGGTAAAGGGATGATTTCTAACACTACTTTTTTTTTGCAGTACCGTCTTTGGCGGCATCCATACTGATTCTCATTTCCAATAATTGCAATTCTGCGAGAATCTTAGATTCCAACGAAGCAATCTGGGTTTGAAATTTTGATTCAAGCATAGAAAGCTGTGACTGTATGTCACCCTTGATTTTTTTTCTCCATCTCACTGTCGGTGTAGGCGAACATGAGGATGACCTAGTAGATACATTAGTAAAATATAATTAGGTAATTAACTGCAAATAGAAACATACACAGGATGTGAACAATGTCAATAATGTAACCGGTACAGGTACTCGGTTATTGGTTTTGTTTTATGTTTTGTTTTAAGTATCGCTTTGATACTTGGTTTTGTTTTATGTTTTGTTTTAAGTATCGCTTTGATACTTGGATTGTTTTACCAAAGAGTATCACTTTGATACTTGGCTTGTTTTACCAAAGAGTATCGCTTGATACCTTTGATTAGTTGCATTCATGCTATACATGAACAGATTTGTGTATTTAAGGACTGCCTGATTCCACGATGGAAAAGGTAGACTTCGACAGACAGTATTTCAATATACTTGGTTGAACGATTAGCTCTTTGTTTCTCAGTACATCCTCGAAGCCTCCTTTGATTCTCAGCTCTTTCCTCTTCTCTGGAAGAGCAGGCCACCTGTCAACTATCATATCTCTCCCGATAATATGATTAGCACCTTGCGAACACATTACAAATAACAAGTTGTTGAAATTTGTAACTGGTATGGGTACTCGGTTATTGGTTTGTTTTAAGTATCGTTTGATACTTAGTTTTGTTTTATGGTTTGTTTTAAGTATCACTTTGATACTTGGTTTGTTTTAAGTATCGTTTGATACTTGGTTTTGTTTTATATTTTGTGATAAGTATCGCTTTGATACTTGGTTTGTTTTACTTAAGAATATCACTTGATATGTTTGATTAGCTTCATTCATACTAGACATGAACAAGACATGTGTATTTAAAGACTGCCTGATCCCAGGATGGAAAAGGCCGACTTCGACAGACAGTATTTCAATATATTAGGTTGAATGGTTACTTCTTTGTTCCTCAGTACACCCTCGAAGCCTCCTTTAGGTCTCAGCTCTCGCCTCCTCTCTGGAAGAGCAGGCCACCTGCCAACTATCATATGTATTACCGATAACGTGATTAGCACCTTGCAAACAAGTTACATTTTTTTAACCTCAGCAAGTGGTTAAGAACCTGTCCAGGAATTTAGGGCTGATGAACCTATCAATATCTACAGTAGAATACTAGCGGAGAGAAGCGGTAGAATCACAGCATATTCGGCTTTGTAACCGGTACGGGTACTTGGTTATTGGTTTTGTTTTAGGTTTTGTTTTAAGTATTGCTTTGATATTTGGTTTGTTTTAAGTATCATTTGATACTTGGTTTTGTTTTATGTTTTGTTTTAAGTATCACTTTGATACTTGGTTTGTTTTAAGTATTGTTTGATACTTGGTTTTGTTTTATGTTTTGTTTTAAGTATCGCTTTGATACTTAAAGAGTTTTACCAAAGAGTATCAATTGATACCCTTGATTAGTTTCGTTCATACTAGACATGAACAGATTTGTGTATTTAAAGACCGCCTGTTTCTACGATAGAAAAGGCAAACTTCGACAGACAGTATTTCAATATACTTGTTTGAATGGTTACTTCTTTGTTCCCCAGTACACCCTCGAAGCCACCTTTAGTTCTCAGCTCTCGCCTCCTCTCTGGAAGAGCAGGCCACCTGCCAACTATCGTACCTTTACCGATAATGTGATTAGCACCTTGCGAACACGTTGCATTTTTTTAACCTCAGCAAGTGGTTAAGAACCTGTCCCCGGATTTAGGCCTGATCAACCTATCGATATCCACCTCAGAACGCTAGCGGAGAGAAGCGGCAGAATCACAGCACATTCGGCTTCATCTCAAACCCAAGATAGAGTCTTTGACGACCAGGAGTGGGAAGCAAATCCCACTGCAAGACCTTACAAGGAAGAAACAACCCCGGCGCTCTGCTAAAGAGCCGGGCAATCCTGCAAACACGGAAGATACACAACCTCCAGGAGAATTCCCTTCTACTCCAGCAAAGAGGCCTTCCTTTGAACCTCCAAATGACCCCGAATCTAGTAGCGAATCAGATATGGCTAGCACAGGTGGAGGGCCTTCTAGAAGAGGGAAATCTCGGGCAAGGCCTGAAGAAGAGGAGGTACCCGCAGCATTTGAACCCCCTAAGTTTAAACTCCACCTCCCAACGAAGTTCACAGGCGAAGCGAAAGACCTCAAACCTGAAGCCTTTCAACGATGGGCAACAGAACTCTCACACTTCCTACTCTTACAAGGAAAAGATGTGGAAGACACTAAAACCGGGCTTATCATTGGATCATTCTGTGAAGGAAAGGCCACCGACGCATACCACCAATGCTATAAGGATTTTGGCGGGAATGTAAGATTAAGAGGATCTACGGTTCTCGATTACGTGAAAGGACGATTCCAATCCTCTATAACTAACGACCTCCTATACAACAAATTCAACCAGCTCCAGCAAGTTAACGGAACACATGTCAAGCGAATTACCGATGTGGCTATGGACTTGATAATGTATAAGGACCGAATGGAGAGAGGAAGTATCTCCAAATATATCCTGAACTGACAATTCTACGACACCATGAACCCTACCCTCCGGCGAGAAGTAGAACCACGCGAGGAAGACGGCGATGATATTGCAGTAATAATTGCAAGAGCAGAACGAAAGGACGCCATTCTCCATGAGACCAAGGCCTACAAAACACAGACATCCTCCAGTAGGAACAGCCAGCCACGACACAAAGCCTCCAGCAACTCTGAAGACGATACCCCACCGGTTTTCTAGAAGAAAACAAAATCCTCCAAAGAATCGAGACGGCAAAAAGGAGAATGTTTTGAATGTGGAAAAACAGGATACATGGCAAAGAACTGTCCTACAAAGAAAGGAAAAGGAAAGGCAATAAAGCAAGAGGCGTCGGCCAACAATGTTGAAAGCGATAACGCCCAATCCAGTGAATATGAAGAGATCCATATCGGATATATCGATGTGGAATGCAACAGTGTTCGACCTCCGGCTACATTCAAAACACACACGGCTCTGGATAGTACTATCCTGATCAATGGCAAAAGGGCTCGAGTCCTATTCGACACTGGTGCAATCGGAAGAGATATGATCAGTAATGCCTTTGTCTCTGTCCATGGACTCCCAACCCGAGACCTTAACCAACCCATACCAGTCAATATGGCAGTAAAGGGATCACGATCCACAAGCCATAAAACCTGTTCTGCGACTATTCGACTTGGTTCTGCTATACTACCCCCCCAGGAAATGCTGATTGGAAATCTAGCCAAATACGATGCCCTAATAGGCACGCCATTCCTGAACCGCCACAAAGCTATAATCAGGTGTGGGGAATCAACCATCGATTTCCCAGATCAGAAGGTCAGAGTCTCATGCAAGCCAACAAGCGGAGAGTACCGAGCCGCAGTCTGTGAAGCAACTACCCAAAAACTATTGGATGAATACTCGGATATTTTCCCTGATCAAATACCCAAAGAACTAGCGCCTATGAGAGAGGTGAACCACCACATCCGCCTCCGAGACCCCTCTAATCTCAAGAACCAACCCACCTACTCTATTCCTGACGCATACAAAAGCCCACTTTGTGATTGGATCAACCAACAACAAAGAAGAGGAGTCATCTCCGGGGCAGAAGCCCCAGGTGCCGCTCCTATGTTTGTTCAACCCAAAGCAGATGGCAAAAGAATCCGCCCCTTGGTTGACCTTAAGCTACGCAACAAAAACACAGTTATGGACAGCTCCGCTATCGCAAACCAAACCCAGAAATCTAAATGCAGTTGGACGGGCAAGATTCCGAAGTAAGATTGACCTAAGCGATGCCTACTTCCAAACAAGGTTAGACTCAGAAAGCGAACGCTACAACAGTTTCAAAACACCCTTTGGAAGTTTCATTAGCCGAGTTATGCTACAAGGTGATATGAATGCGCCTGCCACATTTATGCGAATTATGGAAAACCTCCTAAGCGAATACCTCCACCATTTTGTTTGGGTCTACATTGATGATATTCTCATCTTCTCCAACACCGAAATAGAACATGCCTACCATATAGGATTGGTTTGTACTAAACCAAGGGAAGCTACATTCTAGGCTAGTAGAAACAAATCAATTCTGTTCGCCGATAAACTCGATATCTTAGAACGTGTTACAGATGATGAAGGAATCCATGCAGCTCCTGGAAAAATCACCTGTTTAACGCAATGGTCAACACCCCGCAATCAAAAGGAACTCATGCGATTCCTAGAACTAGTCAACTATATTTCCCAATTCCTCCCACACCACGCCACTGTGACAGCGCCGCTCACGGATCCTACTGGCAATGCAGAATTTGTCTGGACCCACACTCACGACCAAGCCTTTACCAACATCAAGGAATTGATTAAAAACGCCAATGGTATACAACCCATCGACTACAACAAACCAGAACCGATATGGCTGATTACTGATGCATCGGATGTTGGAGTGGGAGCATGGATTGGGCAAGGGGCCTCCCATGAAATGGCAAGGCCGGTGGCATTACACAGCAGGAAGTTCACTAACTCACAGATGAACTATGGAACAACAGACAAGGAAGCCCTTGCTGTGATTGATGCTCTCGCTGCTTTCAACCACATCCTGATG